CACAGCAGTGCTTGGAAGAAATGGGTTGTGCGGCTTGTTGCGCGGGACTGGAGTGTCAATCGTGTCAGCTTTGAATGGTCATCAAGAGACGAGCATGGTTATCAAAAATAGGAGAACAGGGAAGAGAAAAAAAAGAGAAGAGCAGAACGTACATCAAACCCAAACTTATTTGCATCTTCACTCGTAATAGCCACAGCCAGAATCCCATTAGAAAACAACCATGACGTCACCAACCGCGTGCGGAAACTCTTATACGAGTCATCCAGCGTCTTCTTCTCCACAACTTTCGGCTCAACAAACGGCGTCAACGCGCGCTTCACAGTGCTCTCAAACTGACTATCAATGTCCGCCTGCGGCTTATCGATCTCCTCAATGACGGCTTCTTTGCCGCCTTCGTCCTTCTGCGTTTGGGCTGAGGGCAGCGCGTCCGCTTTGTCCGCACCCTTTGTACCCCAGGAAACGTCGTGCCAGTTGCTGAAGGCGTACACCATTAGAATGTTTATGAACGAGGACATGATGAGGAGGTAGGAGGGGAAGGACGTGAACATGTGCCATGGGTCGAGGTACAGGAAGGAGGCAACGAAATAGAGGCCGAAGGTTGCGGCGAGGGCTATGATGATGATTCCGGGGCCGGAAGAGGAGAAGAAGGATATCAGGAATGGGCCGATGCCGTGGGTCGTGTCGAAGGCCAGTCTGCCGCCGGAGAAGGCGCGGACGACGAGGTACATTGATAGGACTATTATGTAGAATTGGATTATGCCGAAGACGATGAAGGAGGTTATGTACGAGTATTTGGAGCTGGGGTTGTTAGTTATTTTTTTGGGGGAGTTTATATATAGATGGGTAGTGTGGTGAACTTACCCCTTGGGGCGATTACCCAAAGCCAAAATGAACTGTAGGAGCAGGAAGGCTATGTACAGGTACTTCAGAACTGTATTAACGATGGGAGTCGCAGTGTTGCCAAATGGGAATGCGCGCTCCTGGTCGCTCACAGACCCTGGGCTGGGCGGGCTACCGACGAGGTCCATGATAACGGAAGTTGTAAGCCAGTAGGAAGCTGTATAGAGCAGTTAATAAACCCACCCAAAATTGGATATTAGTCGAATGGGCGAACATACCAAGTGCAAACCAAGTCAAGAAAACCGTAAACAAATTGTAAAGCATCTGAATATGGAAAAAGAACATGCGCAAAATATTGTGGCCACTCTTATACATCCTCCCGAAATGCATGAGCGAGTAAATACTGGCCGCAAACGAACCGTTAAGCCACCGACGTCTCTGTCCGATGAATTCAGGAGCACCCTCAGGAACATCAGTCTCGCCCTTGGACGACTTGACATATGACAGATGCCACTTCGACCCCGCTTTGGCTACCAACTCGAAACACAGAATTCGATCCTCAGCCAAGAACATATTCTTCTTGAAAATGTTCATGCCCTCGATTCCCTTGGGGCCAAGCTGTTTGGACAGCGTGTGGTCACCGTGGAAATATTGCTCAAGAGGTCTACCCATGATGGCGCGGAAGCGGTAAGCTGAGAACGCGCCGGGAAGCACACTGACGTACCCGAAGGAGGATTCCAGGGGTTTATCGAGGATGTTACTGATTTTGTATTCGAAGTTTTGTGCCGCGACGAGCGGATTGAAGAGCTTTTTCCAGCCTTTACCCAGCATAGCGTGGATTTCACCACAGGAGCCACCCAGATCTTTGTCGTTGTAGAAGGCTTCCCAGAGCGCTAGGAGGGATTTGGGACCTGGTTTGGTGCCTGCGTCGAGCAAGATGCAGACTTCCGGGTTGAGGATTCGGCCAAAGGCATTGAAGAGCCATCTGTGAGAGTTGATTTTCTTGCTGTTCTTCTGCTTCAGACACAACATCATCTGGACGGGAGGCAGTGTGGACGGGCCATCATCGTGTGGCCGAATGAGTTGTTGGTTAGCGGTCACAGAGAGCTGGGTGGTATATTCAAACTAGTTTGGTGTCAGTAGAATAGAAGCATATTAGATGTGTGACAATCTACTAACAATATGTGCGACAGTCTCCTTCCCGTCAACATCTTTCTTCATAACGCCATCCTGGTAGATTCCAACTGTGGCCAGCACATCGAGGGTATCTTTGTCGCAAGGGTCAATTCCATCGAAAACGAGACAGACGACAATTTTCTGCCAAGCAGGACCACCCTTGTTCCAGAATTCAGACTTCTTGAGGTTGACAATATCCCGGATATTTTGCATCACGCCGTGTAAAGTGCGCGAAGTAAGCATTTTATCTTCGTTGTAATATGTGATTGCAACTAAGAGCTCTGTATGGCGGTTATACATTGCAGGCCGCAGATTGTAGCCATTGTGCAATGTGAACTCATTAGGATCACATGTAGCAGCGGTGTCTAAGATATCAATTTAGAAAATCTCCTGTAATTCCCTTATATACACGGTAAGAGAAAAACTCACATCGCATATGGGTAAATTCCTCGCTCCCACCCTCAAGATCATTGCGGTATTTAGCCTGCACAGCATTCTGAATAGCACTAGGAACCGGATAATCGACACTGAGAACAGAGCCTTGAACCAGCTTGACCTTCCTAGTAGCATAACGACGTAGATTTCCCGGCCCTTGTCTCTGACGCCAGGCCTCAGTAGACGAAGTTTCACTGCGGGTGTATGGCGATGGTACGCGGCCAGGCACGCCAAAGCCGGCAGCGGGATTCTCGCCCATCTGCCCTCCGTAATGATCTTGGGACTGGGGTTGGTCTGTTACGTAGGATTCTGTCAGGCTGTATCCGGAGGCGGAGTGGAACGGAGAACCACCGCGCTGGTGGGGGTCGTCGAAAGGGCCGCTGAAAGGGCCTTGGTTTTGGTGAAGGAGAGATTGAGATGCATCGTGCTCAGCGGGGAGGTTATATTGCTTTATTTAGGACAAAAGAGAAGATCAGGATAAGTCTTGGAAGGATGTGGAGAAGAAGGAGAAGATTTGAAGAGTGAAACAGGATTATCCCAAGGTTTGCAACATGGACGTTGTCGATGTAACCAGGAGGGGATATATGTATGATCACATATTGTAACCAAGGAATGAATGTACATGGAAAGTACTTACACTTCCGTTTTGCGGGAGGTCGTGCAGACGATGGGCTTCGCCGTAGCCGCCGCCGGAAGAATGAGGGCCTTGATAGGCCATGATGAGAGAATGTGGTCGCAACCAAGCGAGCTACAGGTTTCGGGATGTATAATAGCAGGTGTAGATTAAGCTGTGATGAGCGAGAGAGAAAAGAGACAGAGATGGGCAGAGGTGAGCAGAGGTTGAGGTTGAGGTTGAGGTTGGGTGAGGTTTGAGAGGGAAGGAAAAAGAGGAGTTTGGCGGTGGAACACGCAGAACAAAAAAAAAAAAAGCACAGAATCTAGACCAGCAAAAGAAGAGAGAGACAGGCGCAAGAGAGCGTGCGAGAGAGTGAGAGAGAAATCATGAAGGATAAAAATACAGTCGACAATTCCCGGTGCCAACTAGCAACAACGGACTAGCAGAGTTAACCCACGCCAACAACAAGATGAGAGGAAAAGAGGGAAAAAGAGACAATTGAGTGAAGGTTTTTCTTTTTTTTTTTTTTTTCCCCCAAGAGAGCGAAAAAGCCAGAAAGGAAAATAACAGGGATGTTTTTTGTTTACGCAGGCGGCGAGTATGGTACGGTACGGTACCAGAAAGTCAAGTTTGGTACATACACAAGCGGCGTTGCGACCATCCCTGTTCCTGTCACTGCTATTATGGATACTTGGTTCAGGTACCGAGTAATATTCTGCCTGGTTGCTAGGGTAAACTTACTGTACCAGTTAGTGTCTTTGCGCTGCCAGAAGTCCCTCAGGCCTGAAAGTAAAATTACAGGGCGGTGGCTTGTGAGGGCATTGTCCACCCACCAGCCAGCCACTCAAGCGATGGTAATCTTTCCATTGTATGGTATCCTCGATACCATGATACGAAAATACTGAAAAGGCTCTGTATGCTATTTATGAACATATCAAATACAGATCACAGACGGAGCAAATACACAGTTAATTCGCTGGCGCCGATGTTCATGATAATTAATGACCCTCGAGCATGCATTTTGATAGAGAAGATAAAATGAATATTTTCCGCAAAGATTCTATTCCCGGATCAAAAAAGTCCCCCATGTCATTCCCAATCTTTGGTAGGTTACAGTAGTAGATCAGTCTGGCGACCAGCCAGCATTTTTCCCACCCCCCCACACCACCCCCAGGTCATATAACCGCCAGGTATATTCCAACTTTATTTTTGCCTTCATCTTTGCCATATCATCCACTCCGCTCAAGACTCCCTCTCCCCGTTCAGCGTACGCAGGACGTAGTATGTACGTATCAATAACTGAATTGTCCGTTAGACCAGTCTATGCTTTACTTACATCAGCCCTTCAGCACCCAACTAATCTGCAAAACTCCGCCACTCCTCCAACCAGATATATTCCCCTCTCTCGTTGCACAGCCTTCCAAGGAACTATCGGTAGAACAAGACAAGACTTAACAGATGCATGCCATGTCATGCCTTGCTCCCTGTGAGCAACCCAAGCTGCCCACACTGATCTTGCCACACTGGCTGGAGTGTTTCTGGTTCAGTTCCCCAAGTATGCAAGCACTTCAGGTCCCTCACCCTTAGTATTCCCATTCGATTTGTCTCGCATCTTCTCGTGCTCAAAGGAAGTCTCTGTGATTCCATGAACTGTCGTCTACCTACCAGCCAACAATCAATAAATGGTTCCAAGATTGGCATGCTTAATCATTATCAGACTTCTTTGAACCAATGGGTAAGCATGTAACAGATCTCTCCAAAAACTGGGCCTCGGTCCTGTCATTCCCAACGAATGATTATACTCATAGGGGTATCCACGGCATTTCGCAAGCATCCCCGAGCACTGGTTGGTTTGGTTGGGCCATCACATCACATCGCGTTTATCAGACAGGGAAATGTGAAATAATTTGATCGGGTGGGCGGATTGCGATACCTTCCTTAACGCTTATCCTTACATGCATATGTGACGTGCAGCAGTGTGCTCATGCTCTACCAATATGTTCAAAATACCAGTCCCCCACCCCACTCTTCAATTTTTCATTACATTTCTCATCCACCCTAAACTCCACTCCGTATATTTATATCAAACCAGAATCAACCGTCAGGAAAATCCTCATTGCCTGAACCGCCTAACCTAGGTCCTGACCCGCAACATCCATTTTTCACTGAACCCAGGTGAGGAGCAGCAACAACCATCCAATCCCCTAAGACCTCATCTGAAACTGAAACAATCCCTTCTCCATATGTAAAAGGGGCTTGATGATCAAACCTTGGAACTTATCACACCTGCATCCCCTATGGCTTATTACCCTCGAGCTAAGACTCCCCTTTGTCTCCTTAATATATTCAGTTTGCATCAGAGATAATTCAAGCCATATCCCAGACTACCAGTCCCAGGTACCCTGCTGGTATCATAGAATTTCCAACGCTTAAAAAAGAGAAACACTTGTGGTGCTACCAGTGAAATATTTTATTAAATGTTTAAACAGTTAAATAGCCCAAAAAGGTAGCCAGATGTTGATTGGCTTCACGGCTGCTCGAGGCGGATGATTCACCTATTTATCTTAAGACTGTATAAATAATTACTTAAAATACTAGTTATTAGAATGATTTAACTTAGTACAAAATTAAAACCTGATCAGAAATATAAATTCACATATTTAAAATATAAAAATAATTTTTATTTACTCTACTTAACGATGTGATGGTTTAACTATTTAGCCAGCGGCCTGAAAATGGTGGTTTTATCTGAATCTGTTCCCACCGGCCGGGGCCTCTCCTCCAGCACCACCACCATACCTGTGGTCCCGGACGTTGCTCCATGGCCTCCTGCCAGCGGGGGGAACATCAGGAACGTCTTTAACGCTTCACGCCGCCGAATTGGCTCCCCCTTGAACCATCATGTTCTCTCTCCAGTACCAAGTCCCATCCTGCTGGTTGCGTTTCCTCTCTCACTCTCACTCTTCTCCCACCAGCATCTCATGCAATACCGCTCGTCGTTCCCCCGCCCCTTGTCCATAAAGCTGTAAGCCTCACGCTCTCGATTCCTCACTCCATGTTCTCTCTTCGCCGCCGGCCCCCCCTGGGCTGTCTTGATCATGGCGCCTCACTCAATTGATTGGACTTGACAATGAATAGAGTCAGAGAAAGCGTGAAGGTGGCTCCCGCCATGAATGTCATCTTTTCAGACAGTGGATAAACAAAGTGGCTCCACTCGCCACTCGCGACCCTGGTGAGAATGAGGGTAACAGTGATCATTCTGGTAGTGATGTCTTTGGTGATGAGGACCAGCTCCCCCAGAACACTATCTAGCTCAAGCAAGCAGAGAGTCTGGATGTCACTCAGTTTCGACGGCAGCAGTCATGTCATCGAGTGGAGCTCAGGGCGAATTCCAAGATCTTAACCACTCCAACAACGGCAAAAGACTAGTATTTCAAGTCAACAGGCTTGAAACTGTGCATCCCTTGTAGAGCAGGTCCGCCACAGTAGGAGAACCAGAGGCATTGAAACAGTTATTTTGCTTCAGTGGCTAAGGTTACAGGGTTATTTGAGAATTCAACCGATTCATAAACTGTAAATCATGAGGCTGGGATTTAGTTTTACTAACCGTAACTAAATAAGCTGGCATGTGAACTTAGAGATCATTGATTATACGTTGAGACTTTGTCATTAAAAACTAATGATCAAAGACCTCAATAATTTTGATATTGAATTTCTAATTATGATGTTTGATTCTTCTTTAATGGTTGTCATTCAGTGCCTGAGACTGATGTCATCATCATTACTTTCTTATTGATATGTAGCTTTCCTTTAAAAGTCTTAATAATAATGTTATTCGTGAACAGTGAGCAAGCAATGAGTGGAGTAATTGATATTATTTCTCTATTTCCCTTCTTTTTAGATAAATATTAATGTCTTCTGATTATCTTTATAAGTCAACAATCCCTCTAAGAGCTGATTTATTCTTATTTATTAATAACTTCTTTTCACCCTATAATTCTTACTCTAACTTAATGATCTCTGTCACTCTTATCTACAGCAAAAAATAAAAAAGCTTATAATTAACTTGGCAAACACCAGAAACATGACAATGACATCTATAAAGATTAGATAACTCTCTACACTTTGAATCGTGATAACATTCATGAATGAAATACTGTATGATACAACTTTCTACTATGGCAGCCTCTAATCTGTATATATATTGAGCTTTAAGATCTAAGTTTCTCTGTTATTCATAAAGAGTATAAGTATATAGCTCTGCATAGCCACTAGATTGGAAAGAGAATGAAGTTTCAATTAATCAATCCATTCACAGCTTGTATTAATTATTCATATTCCGCTTTGTTCTCCTGGACTCCGCTTAATTCCCCTATCTGATAATTATAGAGCGTTCCGGTAAACAGTCATCGCTAGCGTTGGTGGATCCGATAAAAAATGTAATTATTCTATCTCCTTCCTCCACCTCTCCTTCGGACGTGGGTTCGATCGTGGATTGGAGCCTTGTAAACGGGTCGGAGAACTCGGGCAGATTGACTAGAATGAACATCGGGATTTTTACGGCCGGAATGGGACGCATTCGTCGGATATGTCTGAGGGTGAGCAGAAGCTCACCAGGCAGACGTATAGACACTGTTTTTTATAATGTTTGAGTCATTCCTATGTATCTGCAACTATAAGGTAGAGCCAGTCTTCTGTGAAATCATCTGGCAGGGGCCGGTTTTGAAAGTCCAATATGTAGCAGTCATCGTCGTATCCCTGCGCGATTCTCGCAACATCCATGGCAGCATCCCACCTGCCAACGTATTTCCGTACCTTTCCTACCTTCGCCGACAGTGGCAGTGAAACACAACGTCTTTACAGACCCTATAAGCAAGCCCAGCAGCACGGAGCAAACTAACAGCAAAGACTGAGAAGGATCACAAAAGGATTCACGCCTCCAAGGTGGAATACAAAACCGTCAACGAAGTGTATGTCAACACCATATAATATCGCGGACCTTGTTAAATGGGATATACACAGCTGGGATTCCAAGGCATATTGTCTATAAGATAGTTGATTCTCCGCCTTCTCAGGATGCTAGGAATTGGATGAATATGCATTCATCATTTGCAAACATATCTGTAAGTAAAACACAGTCCCAGCATAGATACGACTGACATGTATTCAGACAACATTGACATCAAGTCACTGGGTCTGCGACATTTCATAAGAGTTGTGTTGAAGGCCATTAGAACAGCTGCACTTGAGGCAGAGAAACCTGTGGTATTGTGCACCTACACATCATATGCTGATGGTAAAGCACAGGCTGAGCGGAATCTGCCATACCATTTCCTTGCTGAATTGAAAAACTATCCCAGGTCAGATGAAGAACAGGGCAATGAAGGTAACAAGGCTGCGGTCCACCTATGCCTGCTGATACGATAAATGGAGGAAGTGTATTGGTGCACCTCAAAGTAGCTTATTTCACTCTTGAAACACTGGAAAATATCTTATGATCTTCTCTGAGAGTTTTTCAAACTGGGTGCCTTAGCCTATGTGACCTGCCCTTCCCAGGTCTGCCCCGCTGTGTTTAGTATAGCTTTGGCAAAGACAAAAAATCACTCAACGGTACCTGTTCTCAAATCCATGGCCACTATTCTGACTTTAATGGGGAGGTGTTTGGCATGTCAACTGAGACTATCAACAGAGACTTTTGAGGAATGAGGTGACTTGAAAACCTCCCAGCCTATCCTCTAGAATAGCACCCGGACCCAGCAATCAAATCACACCTGTTGGCAAGCGGACAGAAATTTATTTGCTTGATGGGCTGCCGTCACTGTCAGTACCAAGGACATTTGCTTGTCTAAGAGAAGGACAAACTATTGAAACTCTCTGTGAACAGCAGGGTCATGGTCAACACTGGGTTTTCCGAACGATGAACCCAAATTATGTGAGATTGGAGGTTAAAAAGATGAATGTCTTTGATATTGGGCCAGGTTGTGGAAAACGAAACCATCTGTCAAGTCAAAGTAACGGCTTGAATCCTACTGAGATGATGGGTGACTTGGTTATCTGCACACCAACAGTACATGGCTTTTCCCTAAATGAAAAGCTATGGGGTGACATCCATGCTCGTGACATAGTGAGTGGAACCAGACTAACACAGCTTATTCAGGAGAATTTGCCGTGGAGATTATTGAGGGACTAAGTTCTCCAGTACTCCATATGATATGTTAACTATCCCCAAGAAGAAAAATAGTCATCAAATCTCTTACTGAAAGCCCTGTCAGCGCCACAAATGGAGAAAGCTTTAACAGTGTTATTGCAGAAAAGGGTGAGGGGGTGATTATTCTCTTGCTGTATGTTCATTCCTCAGGAACAATATTATGCGGGAAAGCTGAATTCGTGATAACGGCCCCCCAGGAGTGGGAAAATGCTTACCGCAGAGGCCATTGCTGAACGACTTGAACGGCCACTCTACACGGTAGGTTTTTATCGCATGAAATGGTTTCGACCTGCTAATCATTTTCAGTTCTCATCCGGCGACTTAAGTGCAATAGCTGAGGAATTGGAAGTCCAGCTCACTCGTACGTTCCGCATTGCAAATGACTGGAGGCGGTTCTGCTGCTGGACGAGGCTGATGTATATCTGCAACAATGAGATGGTCGACAGCTGGAACGAAACCGCCTTGTTGCTACATTCCTTCACACACTTGAATACCATAGCGGAACTTTTTCCTCACCACCGGTCGACTCAACGATTTCGACGAAGCAATCCTTGATCGAATCCATCTAAAACTCCGGTATGATTACTTGGATCCGTCCGCTCGCCATAGTGTTTTCAACCAGTTTCTCGGTGAAGCAAAGGCGGAATTTGCGGAAGAAGATATTTGTAAATTTGCTGAAATGAGTCTGAATGGTCGTCAGGTGAGAGTATAATATCGACCGAGACCGGCAAAATGCTGACACGATGACCAAACTAGATCAAGAACCTTGTGAGAATTGCCCATAATGTTGACAACGCTGATGGGGCCAAATTGTACGCAAGTCATGTTCGTACAGCTCTAACAGCAAACGGCTAAACCATTCCCAGTCTAGGCATTTGCCATTCGATGCTAGCCTGTATAAGATCTACCAGTTCATTTTGGGACACTGAGTTTTAGACTGCGTCTTAGTCGGTTATTATTATGTTGTTGTCCGACATATCCCTGTGTGGAATATTACCAACAAGATGAAGGAATCGATACGCCTTGATTGCATCGGAGATCGCCACGAGCAGCTCTAAGCGTGAATTGTTCTGAGGTCGGTTGGCCAGCTGGTGAGATCACCAGGCAGCAAAGAACGAGGTTATCCTAAGGAATTATCTCCATTCTTATCAAATATGCTCAGCTGATGTACCAATTGTTCCGAGAAGACTAGTTCGTCCTCTGGGTCATCCCTAGACAGCTGACCGATGAAACGTGACTGCTTGGATGGCTCGGCCTCCTTCTCTGGAGATCTGCGCCTCCTAGAAGTGGACTTTCCCCTATTTGTAAGCCGCGGTGCTCAGTGAATAACTGCGACAGAGGGTTCTGAGACTGAGATTGACTGAAGGAGGAGGTCGCGCTGGGGGTTGCACTTCTGAAGTTTTGGCGCTTGTTGTCAAAGATCAGGCCGCGGTGCATCTCAGCGACGCTGGTGATGCTGCTGTGCCCAATGACTCTGGCAATTCCTTCAAAACCTCTTTGGCGTGCTGGTTCGAAAGGTGTTCTTCTGGTGCCCGCTCCTTCACCATCCACAGGAACGAATCGGAAAGTCTGTTAGCTGTGATGTATGGCGTCCGTGAGAGAAGGGTGAATGATGAATTAAACGGCTGGGAGTCGAGTATTTGCACCACCCAAGAGAAACAGTTTGTGCTAGTCTCCATACGTGGTAGGTACGCGGAATCACGTGCAGGGCCCCCTGGTGGGCCGCTCGACGGCGTTCGCCTTACGCCCCCGACACTGTTACTCTGGATTGACTTTGTAGTTCACATGGACTCTATAGTCCAACCTCAAACTCAATGCGAGGCATCAAACCAGTTGGCTAGGTAGTCAGTCGATTCTAACTTGTCATGTTTTCCTCCATCTAATATATAGACACAAACCTACCCGGCAGCATCGGTAGGGGACATTAATGAGGTAAAACTTGTGCCAAATGTTGTATCGCCATGAGTTAGGAAGATACCGTAGCAGTGGCTCAATTCTTTGGAACCTGAGATCACTTCACTGCCTGTTTCCCTGGTTGCTGCACCCCTTGCTTGAGGCTCTTGGGCTGTTTGCCGTTGGAGTCTTCATCATCCACTCCACTAGAGCAAGATGTGTTGGTCTTGGCGTTATGATGGGAGGGGTGCAGTTGTTGGCAATTCTGGATGCTAGGGTCATTTTATTTTTTGTGCAGTATCATTCCAGCTGCTAAACCTCTGTCCGGAGACTTGTCGATATTTGGGTGCGTCGTAGAACAATAGACAGAGGCGGTTCAGAATATGAGTGGATTGGCTTAAGGACTCTTAAGGCCGTCGCTTTGCTGGACAGGATGGTGAACATCGCTGACCTCCCAAGGCCAGTTCAATCAGCAGGAAATTGCTAGATCAACGAGAATGTTGTGCTGTAGAATGGGGGGCCTGAGAATGCTTAAAAGCAACCATCTGAAGCTGGTTTTGCTGGGCGATGAGGGATCAGTCTTGTATACTCTCCCTCTGGAAGAGCAACTGCAACTGAAAGAGCAGTGAGATCTTGGGTGTTGCGAGTGGAAATTTGAGGAGAATTTGAGGTTGGTGCGGAGACGAAGGTCAATGCTCGGAGTTCTCTGAGATCATCTCAGATATCAACATCAGAAACAGGGAATCGAGTTTTGCTGCTGCGTGTGGTACAGTACAGCACAATACATGCTTGTATTGATACATGGACGGTATAAATACAGCAATAGTATGGTATCCGTAATGACAACACGCCTCTCGTATTATGTATTCCCTTGCTGCTAATATAATACACGCGCTATGCAAGAAGAAAGACTCAGGCTTCGCGGTAGCTGGTTAGAGATATGCTCGTGGCTTGAGGCTTGGAGCATACGGAGGATTGGCTTGAGTTTTCTTATGCGAC